TACATATTGCTCATTGATGCAAATGCTTACCATATAGGAGTTTAAAAAACTGTAAAGATAAAATCAGCTGTGGTTTGGTTCGTCCTTAAAGAGAGATCTAGAGTTGGAGGAATATAATTTCTTGTAGTTTTTGCATAACCCAAAGTGCTGAGTGAGAAAAACTCACCGTTCTACCTGGAGGTCACAGAGAGGTTGTTTTACTCTTTGTCCTGTGATGCATGGCTCTCAATTTATGTTTTATACATTCAGCAGATCTCCTTCAGGTCTATATATTTTTTGAAAGTAAAAATTTAGGATTAAAAACACGAGATACTTTTATCTATCGGTACACGCCACATGAATAATTTTGGTCCTTTGCTAAAAAGATACACAGTGGAGATGTGCCCAAGTACAAAAGCACTTTATAACCAAATGTACTTTGATCTGTGCATCTCAGGCCAGCATTTCAGTCCATGATTTTAATTCCCTACGGGGAAATCCTTAATACACGCAGTGCCCTGCAGGGCCTCTGCTACCCTGTGAGCTAAGGTAAACTGTTTTAAAAATCTAGAACAGCAAGTCTTTTACAGATGCTTTGGCTGTGTTGTGTTTCAGTCAGCTCAGCAGCACACAGGGAAGGCCGTGTGTGCCAGGAGCCTGGCCGGCTCCAGGGTGACCAGGAAGACAGCACACGGAAGGGGGAGGAGGAAGTGACTCCTTATGCTTCTCAGGGTTTTGGAACAGCTGGGAAACGACAAACTGAATAAACAAACGTTCACCGCCAGAGTGGCAAAGAACAGTAATTTTTTACAAAATGATCCCTTTATTGCCCATCAGCTCCGCAGCTGGCCTCCCTCACCTGCTCTGGGATCCCGGAGCTGGCCCTCTAAGCTTTTCTCCTTTGCCGCAGTGTGATGCTCCCTGTGTCAGCAGAGGGCAGGGGAGGGCCCTGCTGGGTGGGGGGCGGGGCTTCTCCAGGTCCAGGTCCTGGAGCCCAGCGCCTACAGCAAACAGTGCCTGGGGGCAGGCGTACCTGTCACCTTCCCTTCCAGTCAGCTCCCCTGGCACCCCCATCAGGTGGTGTCTCAACAGGTTCCTGCTAAGTGGGACACCTTCCCTCACCCGCTCTCTCCCGCACCCTTTCAGGGGCTTCCTGGTGAATCTAAGAGTTAACTGAAACTGAAAACTGTTTCTTTAATTTTACTCTAGTTTTCTTTTTACCTTAATGTTTGGAACTAATTTAATAGTCTACTTTGTAGAGAAAGTCAGATTATATCTGTCCAACTTTCTTCAGTGGAAATTAATGAAATAGCCTGTTAATCTCTCTTGTGTGTGAAACTCTTCTTTGTCGATAACATTAACTTACGTTATGCCAGGCTAAAAAAATTGTTAGCTGAAGATGTGTTTAAGATATTTATTGGTAGTTTTGATATATAAAGGTTTATAAAGATTTTAATGCATTTTAGTCTTCAGCTGTTTATCAGCCTGATGCACAATAAAGAATTGCTCAGCCATCCAAGTTACAGTATTTGACAAATCTGCAGAAATGTTGCTGAATAAGCCAATGAAATTTCGCATTAAAGATAATTCATGCAGTAGCTTCGGTCGTTAACGCTTGGGACAGCTTAAGTGATGATGGAGTGAACGTTTGTTTGAGGCTGATTCATTATGATCTGCCGAAAACAAGTTACTAAAGAGTCCACCGACGTCTGGTTCTTCTGGTTGGTCACTTTATTAACAGTGATATTTTGTTCATTTTTCACATGGCTTTCAATGAATTTATGCCAACATTACTTACAATATGCTTGAAGGATTTATTTTTCAAATGCAGTTTTATTTATATATGTGGAAAATATTTTGAACTAATGAAAACTTTTTTGTCAATAAAATCTTTAAATGTGGTAGAACACGTCATTTTTATCAAGCTTTATTGAAAACAAACTAGTTTTAGGGACAGACTGGAACTGTTCCTTCTAGAAGGGTTGCACCCTGACATCCAGGTCGAGAGAGAGGAGTGTATAGATTTCATCAGGGTTATTTTGACACTGTTTGCATTTAAAACAGGAATAAATGTGGACAGATTTATCTCCGTAAACCGTACTGAAATATCAATTTAAATCTAGGTATGAGAAATAACAGGCATCGGAAAAAGGTTTTAGATTGTAAAAGTAACACTGGTCACAGCTTAACCAGGTTTAATTAAGCCGTTTTGCAGATTCGACCACTCATTGGGATTCCTCTCCTTTCCTCATGCTCCCACTGTGTCCTGTTGCTTTTATTACAGAGCTCATTAGAGTGTGCAGAGTGTGGCCATCCATTTGCTTGTTTCTCTGTTTTCTACTATCGTGTGAGCCTGGAGGGCTAGATATGTGTTACTCATCTTTCTGTTCTAGATAGGGGTCGGAGCATAATTGGTATAAATGTTGACTTCAAATGATCCTGGCAAAATAAAATATTGTGAAAAATTGAAAGGTTATTCTATTTGATAATCTTGGCCACTAAAAACTCCTTCTTAGATTTTCATGTTACTGTAGTGAATCAGTTTTTACATGAAAGGATCCCATGCGCTTGTTAATTTGTTTACAGAGAATCGTTTTGTACAGTCTGAGGGTAATTATTAATAGTTTACCATCTGTTTCTATTTATCAGTCTTTCCAATCTGCATGTTCAGTTACTGTAAGCGGTCTCTTACATGTGAGATGATCTCTCCGCTTTAGATTTTGATGACTTTAACGTTCTAGTTTTTGATATTTTTAAATGTGCAGAATGTTCTGTAATCTCCTGATTTTTTGGCTTAATTGGCATTTGAGTGCCTTTTCTTATAAGGAACTGTGTACTGCAGGTAGTTGGCAAAATGAGAGTCTGTCTTTAATATCTTTGTAAAACTCTTATTTTTGTTCTACACCTTTGAAGTAGCTCAGGCTTTACTTTTCTGGCAACATTTGGCTTTTAAACTCCATTTTAATTCTAACAAAAATGGAGGAAGAGGACTCTTGTTTATTTATTTTTCTTTTCCTTTTACCTCCATTTATAACATGATCATCAAAATTTCACCTACGTGCATTTAGAACCACATCAAACAGTGTTATAACTTTGTTTTCAATTACAGCCGACATTCAGTATTGTACTATTTTGGGGTGTACAGCATAGTGGTTAGACAGTCATATACTTTACAGAGTGTTCCCCTGATATTCCCAGTACCCATTGGCACCGTGCAGAGTTATCACAGTATTATTGGCGCTGTTCCCTATGCTGTGCTTTCCATCCCCGTGACTGCTCTGTAACTATCTTCTGTGCTTCTCAGTCCCTCCACCTCCTTCACCTGGCCCGCTGCCTCCCCTCTGGCAGCCATGTCAGGACTCTTACTCTGTGAATGCTGTGTTCCGGTATTGTGATGAGCGCTGTGTATGTTTGTTAGGTCATTAATTGCTTAGCAATCTGTGCCATACGTGATATAATCCCACTTACAAATGAGAAAGCTAGAGCGAAAAAGAGCATCTTTTTGGCCACTTGGCTCCTATTTTGTTTCTGATTCAAATCAAAGAAAATAGCTCACATACGGGTTAGTGGAAAATACATCGGGGCTTTTATTTATCCCTGTGTGGTCAATTAGCCGTCCTTTACAATAGCTGGCCTGTTATTAAACACCTGGAGATTTAGAGCTCAATATTATAAGTGCTCTTTTAAACATATAGCTAAATTGGCCAGAAAGGAAGGGGGTTTCATAAGTGCTGTAGACTGAAGAAGTAGCTCAGGAGAACAGCTGTTTCTTCTGCAGCTGCTGGTGCCCAGGGTCCTTACTGAGCTGTAGGACTTGGCGATCTTTGTTTTAAAGCTGTGGGGAGCAGGAGGCAAGGCCGTGGTCTGTCTAGTCAGGGTGAAGAATTAGAACCTCAACATCTCTGCGTTCACACCACCCAGGATAAAAAAATAAAGCTTGATCTTAAACCATTAGGTAAAGTGTATTTTAAAAAGAATGAAAGAGGAAATTGAGGCTGAGACACCAAGCATTTCTAGGAAAATTAGAAATTAGAGAAGTCTCAACAGCAAATCGAGGAGCCTGTGGACTGAGAACATTTCAAGGAACATCTGCAGAAAGTGTAGAGCAATGGATAATATCCAATCCCAGTATCAACACCCAGTAGCAAATCAGCAACGTCAAGTGCTGAGGAGCAGCAGGGAGCAAGCGGAGGGAGGCAGCAGATGAAAGCCCCTGTTGGAGAGCAGCCAGTCTTATTTGAAAATCTTAGTACTTCCCGAGTTTCAGTCAGCTTTGTATCAGCTTCACAATGTTCACAGTGCTCACACATTATCTAGATTATTAGTTAACATTTTCAAATAAACAGATGTTATGCTTATGCTTCATTTTTTTAAAATATTTTTATTGATATTTAGAGAGGAAAGGAGAGGGAGAGAGAGAAACATCATGCAAGAGAGAAGCATCCATCAGCTGCCTCCTGCACGCCCCCTACTGGGGTTCGAGCCCAAAATCCAGACATGTGCCCCGACTGGGAATTGAACCAGCAAGCTTCTGGTGCACAGTACACCCAACCAACCAAGCTATACCCGCCCAGGCCTTATGACTCATTTTTAAAAGAAACCATGTATATCACCGTAAAATTTGGAAACCCATAATATCTGCCATAAATGGAATGTATCTATAAACATTAATTTTACAGAAGAGAACAGAATTATAACCATTACCCATTACTGAGCGTGAGGTCTGTCTGCTGTCATACAGAAGGAAAGCAAGCTTTCTGGGAGAGGGAGACCACCACGTGCAGTGATAAGGAAACGAAGGGGCAGGAAGGAGGTGCAGTGTCTGCAGGGAGGTGTCTTCCTGGGTGGGCTGTGTGCAAGGGTGTCGGCACCAGCAGTCTCACCAGCTGGGTGTGGAGTGACCTAAGAAGGGACGTGTGACTGCGTGTGTCTCGATGCCTGTTTTCAGTGTCTAACCTTTCAAAGCTATTGCTCTGAGCTCCCTGCATTGACATGCTCTTCTTTTTTCTTTGTGTTTGAAGCTATTTTAAGAGCCTGTGCTGATGGAGGTGCCAACCGCCTATATGATGTCACGGAAGGAGAGAGGGAACGGTAAGCTTTCTTTAGCCAGTGTCCACAGTATCGTTAATTCCACTCTTCAGTTTGTTTTACTCTCTTCTTAGTAAGTGGTGGCTGTTAATCTTCCTTCAGAATTAAAACCACCTCGGTGAGCAAGAGCTGCCTAACCATGTTGTGTCATTGCTTTGCTCTGAATGGCATCTCTTAGGAGACCCAGGCCAATCATATCTTTACATCGAAACAAAACCATTCTGTGACCGCAAAATCTTCATTAAGTAGCATTATTGACTATCAATCTTCATGAGCCTTTGAACATTGGCTAAAAGGAAACTTCTAATGGTAACCAGAGTTATTCAGATTAAGTGAACAGAAATGGGTCTGTGAAGGAAATGCATGTTCTATTGCAAAAGATGGGAGGTGTTTATATTAGTATTGAGTCAAGCTCAGTACAGCTCACTCCCAGTCACTCCTGAGCTGTGCACACACGTGTTTTAGGAGGTGAGTAGTTTGTGTCCTAATGATTTGTTATCTGTGCTGTCTGACTTCCCTGATCTCGGCATGGTGAGCTCTTTCTAGAAAAAAAGCATACACTGATGAAAGAAAAGTTTAAATCTGGCTCATCACCCACATGCTCATAGTCCAACCGCCTAGTAGACAGGAATTTATAGGCTAGATATAAATAGACTAGCTATGAAACTGAGTTCCACTTCTATCATACATGTTATTAAATGTGGTGAAATGTTTATGGTTTGAGAAATCACCCCCTTGCTGCAAAAATTAAATTAAAATACTATGATGCAGCATACCATAGGTGTGAATTAAATATAGGTATTTTGAAGTGATATAAAATACATCTTTACTGCATCAACTTGTTTAACTTCAGGTTTCTGAAATTAGAGCAGCCATTTGAAAGCAGCTGGTTGCTTGGAGGAGGAAGGCCTGTCTCCTTTGAGATGGGGCATGCTGATGTTTAGGGACTAAGTGCACCATCAGAGAATATAGCAATAGGAACAGCCTAGGAAGTTATTTAAATCCATGGCATTTTGTGCTTCCTTATTTTAACTTTATGGATTCTGCTGACTGGATCAGTAAGACCTGATGCGGAGAGTACGTGAAAACATACTGAAGTATGTCTTACAGAAGTGCGTGGGCCAGTTCATTCAGGGTAATGCCCACGAGGCCAAGGTGATGGATTGGGTCATGTCTGTTTCTGCCTGTAGTCTCCTTGCTGTCAGGCAGTCTAGTACTGAGTCCTATTTCTCCAATGGGAGGTATAGCTCATTAACATAATTATATAAATGGGAACTGTGGAAGAATGTTGCACAGTGCTTCCCAACTCTTCCTTGATCATAGGAGCCATCTAGAATGCTTGTGAAAAAATATATATTTCTGTGCTGATTACTTTTACTGGATTGGGCTGGACATTAATAAGAAAGATAACACACAACATTATAATTAACATTTAAAGCAAACAGATGACCAGATTTGGGGAGTGAGTACCATTATTTTTGCCGAATTTCAAAATAACCATTTGCAGTATTTCTTAACACATTTATAAGTAATCTTATGGAAGTCTTCTGAAAAGATTTATCTAGCGACTGTTTGTCCATACATGAAGATGTTCAATAAGAAAATATACTTTCAGTTGAGTTTCTAGTTGTAATATAGTTGCCATGATTCCTTCTCTGGTAATTAGGGCCTTGGATAGACTGAGGAATGGTTGAATCTCTGACAGGGAATTGAGTGAAGCTAACTGCCTCATGTGGGAATTAAATCCTTGCAATAGATCTTACTAAATCCAAACCCTAACTCATGAAACCAATTGGGTACAGGTGACTAAACATGATTCCTATTAATTGTATTTTTAATAGAAAGGCCTCACAGTGAAAAGAGAAGGTGGTATTCATGAGTTTGAAAAAGCCAAGCTTGGTTTGTGGCTTCACTGGTTCTTATTGGTTCATTTATTTAGCATTCATATCTGCAATGTAATACTTGTAAATATGCAATAAGACATGAATGTTTTGAAACTTATCTCCAGTTGCAGACAAAGTGAGATGTTTACACATTTAGAGCAGGGTGTAGAGAGGAGAACAGGTTTGTAGAGATAGAGCTGAGGCAAAGATCAGTGTGGCCTTAGGTCTGATTCTCCAGTGAGGCATCCAGTCCTCCATACCCCATTCATAAATGCTCATCTCTCCCTTTCAGCTCTGAAAATGGGCTCTCTATTCATCAGGGAGTTTTTGGTTTTGTTTTTTTTTACATTAGGAAGTCCTAAATGTTTTGTTCTTATTGTGAAAACAATACATGATGATTTGAATATATGTTAGTGAGTTGGGAAAAACAAAAAGAAGAAAATAAAAATTGTTATTTTTTGCTAAGTAACTAAATGTTGCATGGAGTCTACCTATTGGTTGTACCCTGAGGAAGAACAGAAACATGACTAGTTCTTCTTGCTAAAGTAAGTGTAAGCTCCATGGATGTAAACTCTCTTAGGCCTAGAAAATTATCTGGGAATATTTGGCACTCAATAAATTTTTATTAGTAAATGAATATTTTATTACAGTTACTCTGTTCTATCTACCCATAAGGTTTTGAGTGACTTTGATTAATAACCCTCATATTTTGGATAGGTTTCCTCTGCTCTAGAGCTGATAGGTTCTGACTTGTCTGTCCATCAAACTGAGGCGGGGTGAGGACCAGTCAGGAAAACAGAATGGACATCGCCAATGACAGGTGGATCCTTACTCTGGCCGTGGACGTGGGATTAAAGAGGAAGAAATTTTAGGAGGACTCAGTCTTTGTACTGTATTCCCCTATTCTTAATTGACTGTTTTCCTAACCCCAGATGCCTGCTTTTAGAAATGTGGGGCAGTAAGGTGGGGTACCAGATGTATTGGCCAATACCCCCAAATCCACAGCTCCAACCTGATACTGACAGAAGTCTCATGTTTATATTCTGGTGATTGGAAAGTCCTCTGGTGGACTCATAACACCCACCTCCTGCCTTCTTCTCACCACATTGGTGAGAGCCAGGATGGTGCAGAGTGGCCCCACTAGTCAGAATACTCACAGGCTACAGAGATGGGGGAAAATGCCAGAGAAGCAGGGTAAGATCTTCCAGGAAAATCTTAAGGAGCAGGTTCTTGTTTTTGCTCATCACCGATAGGCATTGGAGGTTTGTTTTGTCTTCCTAGTGATGAACTTATTGATAGTAGATTGGATCAGGAAAGTGCAAATTGTCCACAACAAAGGTGATTGAAAGGTTGTTATTTGTGTGTGCCAGTAAATAATGATGCTGGGAGAGTTAAGTCCCCCCACCCCCATTGCTTTCCTCCCCTGCCCGTAATTCCTGCTTCTGCATCTGTGACAGAACAGCTTCTGCTCTAGTGACTTGCTAACCAGGGCTGCATACAGTCGCTTGTGGCAGCATCACCCACCTTTTCCACCAGAAGGAATGTTAAGACAAAAAAACGTATAGAGAAGTGGACACAGTAGGATGTTACAGCTCCATGGGTTTTCACAAAGGGGCACACGCTGATGTCACCAGTCCTGAGATCAGTAACCGGAATATCACCAGCATTGCGGGCTTCCCCTTCCATGGACGTCTCTCCTGACATAATTAACTTTGCCAATTTTTGGACTTTATAAAATAGAATTATAAGATACTGAATTTTGAGCGTTTTGACCTTTTGGAGGGATAGAAGTCCTAGCTCTCTGAACCTGAAAAAGGGTTAAAGTTGTTGTGGGTTCTCGTGGCTACCTGGTGATGGTGAGACACGGAGGAAGTGGTGGAGTCAGGGAGCAGAGAGGGAGAGTTGCGCAGGAGTGAAAGCAAGAATGCCCGAATCCAGGACACTGCCGGAGTAGGTAGGCCATATGGCAGAAAGCATTTACATTGATCGCTCTTTTTAAAAAAAAAAAAGCCTTTAGCTAGGTAAACAGACCAAATTTTTTTTAAAAAATTCAAAAGAGAGCTTTGGTGTGAGAGAGGATCTCGCTGGAATAATCCAGTGGAAGAAATAAGAATGTAGCATTTAGCCTGATTCACTCATCCTTTCATTCATTCAAGCGTTTATTGAATACTTGCACTAGTTTGGCGTTTGATAATGACTAGATAAAGTACAGTTCCTGCCCTCAAGAAATGTACAGCATGGCAGAAGTAAAGAGGAAAGGAGGTGGGTACTCAGTGTGGTAGATTATAAAGCGCATAAAGAGGAATTTCTGGCCCAGGGTGATAGATTCTGTGACAGAGGGAGGCACAGAGGGTAGACAGTTAATCCACAACGAGGGAGAGATTGTCCTTTGTGTGCTGGATATAAAACCTAAACTTGTTACCTTGAGATTCAGGGCTTGGCTTTCACTCATTTTTCAGCCATGCCCTGTTTCCTCCCTGCCTTCTCCAGATCGCTTCTCCTCACTGCTTGTGCTCAGGCCTCTCTCAGGCTGGTCTGCGGTTATACCCATTGGTACCACCCATAATCCATGACTGTCTACCGCCATCTGTTCCGATCAGTCAGTGCTTATAGATCCTGTGCTGCACTGCCCCTCAGATAGTTTGAGTAGCACATGCTGGCACTTCTTGTAGAACCCTCTGTGAAGCCATGCTCAGTTAAAATGCTGTCTGCTCCCCGAAGGCTCCCTCCCCGTCCAGCCTGATGGGAGGTAACAGCTCTTACACTATAATAATACTTGTAAATTACAGTGTTAGTCTCACATATTACCTTGATTTAGAGCTGTGAAGATTTATATCCCTTACTAGGTTGTAAATTTCTAGTGGCATAACACTTTATAATTATTTACCTTCTCATTTTATCTTGTGATTTAACTGTGTGTAGATGTGTCTGATCTCTATGTGGTGAACTCCTCCAAGGCAGTGATCGTAATTAATCTTCCTTACATGCCTTGTAATATGTAGAACTCTGGTGAGCATCTGAGAATTTATGGAACTAATTACTTTTCATTGATATCTTAGCAGAAACGTCACAAATACTAAGCTTTTTCTCACCCAGGGATTTCTCACCCAGCTGTTGGAG